TTTTACCCCTAACTCGTTCCTTCTTGCATCTAATTGTCGTACCTCTAATCCCCTAGCAGGATCTTGCCTCTCAGAAGGGCGGAAGGGATGCCCCGATGAGAAGGGGGCGCTGCCCGGGGTTCAAAGCTGGCTCCTTTGAGCTTCAAGGATACCCTGGTAGGAAAACTGAAGTACGAGGGATGCTTGAGGGGATGAGCCCACATGGCTATAGCCAGAATGCCCAGAAGCGTCCCAGCCGTCTGAAAGAGCGATGTTCGAGTACCGGCCTAGAGCCGCTTGAGGTGACCCACCAAGGGAGGCAGAGCCCCTGAGCCCGACAGAACGGGCTCAAGAACAAACAAGTGGCTCAACCAGAGAAGCCGAGAATCTCCCCCTAGGGGCATGACAAAGGTACGGAATGACTGCAAACTTGGGGTTCTCATGAACTTACCCGCTAGTAGTACGGGCGCGGCAATCTTGGCCACCGAGGCTATTGTCGTAGCAGCCTAGCCTAATGAGGGAACAACAGCCCCGAGCTAAAAAAACTTTGAGGCCCCACGATGGCCTCGGGGGCTATGTTGGCTCTCCAGATGGAGCAACCCGACCCCTCGATCGATGGGTGCTCGAGCGACGCGCCCCCAAAACCAAACAACTCCCCATAGTTGGATTGAGATCCATTGAGCCATGGGCCCAATGAGGGCCCCTCGCCTAAGCTCGGCGCGCTCCTCACGCCCCAACCTATGGCCACAGAAGGTCGGCCCAAGAAGGCCAGCCTAAGAGGATCGAGGCCTGCTACCGAAGCCCTTAGAAGGGCATGGTGCACTGCGTGATCACGTGGCCCTGAGCCAGAGCCTAGACGCTCTCGATCACCTGACCCATGACAGGCTCCGACCAAAAAGAAGGGTGCCCCTGGGCGTAAAGTCGGTAACACCCAGACGAGTTCACTGAACCCTCGCTCAGGCCGAAGACCTATGCGACATAGGGTCAAAAAATGAGTTAGCACCGCTACCGCTTGGCCTCGTCAGCGAAGGCCATCCCCGCCATGGCTAGTTCGGTCACCAGAAGATCAAATTCAGCCCTTCGTCGCCATCATGAACTAGGCCAAGTAAGGCCATGAAGGGCTCGAGGGCTCCTGATGAGATCCTAACATATGAGTATGTTAAGCCTCAGGATCTATGGTTCCTGATCGAAGAGACCCCCCGACCGATTCCTCCATAATTGCCCGGGGGCTCGGGGGCTATACTCATCGGGTACGCTCTCACGCGCAATCTTAGACTAAGGAACCGGACTGAGCACGCCAAGGCCTCTGCTTAGGGCTCGGGTGCTAGCCCGAGCCTCATGCTCTCGATCGGTAGGGAACCTAAGCCCGCTCCTTAGCTCCTGCCCGGCCTATGATGCCAACCAAGGCCCGGGCATAAGAAGACACACCCTGAGCCATCGAGGCTTGGGGGCTCCTCGACACAGCACTTTGGGCACGGCATTGCTGGGCGCTTCCCTGACAAGGTCACACGCGAGGCGTGACACAAGAAGAAAAGCTCTCCTTAGCCTCTAGGCGCTCGGGGGCTTCTAGGCCCACACATCAGCACCTTAAGCCGACCTCCCTCGCCACCAAGAAGACTCCAGAAGGTGTGCCTGGAGGAGGCCGGTCCAAGCTGACACAGTCTGACACTCAGTGCGTCAGAACAGGCCAGCTGGACGACGTCCAAGGCTTCTTTGGCTCCACGATATCACCACGGTCCATAGAGAGCTGCTGCAAGACCCTCCTGGACTCCGGTGCATGTAGACCATAGGCTCAACCCCCAAACCACCATATACCCGACCTATCTCGATATATAAGGGATAAGGGCGGATCCTAGAGGGGGCGGATGATCCCCGACAGATCATTTCATTCCTCATCGATCCGCTCCTGCTCAGCGCCGAGAGCAGAGCAACCCAGAGAGGGGCACCGATAGCTCCTCCACCGCACCCGTCGTCTTCCTCCTCTTCGACGAGGGGAAGGCTCCACCAACGGCGAGGTAACCTTAGGATTAGCACCAATCTAACCCCCTACTAAATCTCCCTTCCTCCTGTACACTCTGTTGTAACCCCCCCGATTTTGGGTGCTCTTAAGTATAAGAATAATCAACTGCTGGACGTAGGGCACCGATCGGCCTAAACCAAGATAAACCGTTGCGTCCTCTCTATGATTCTTGTGTTCTTGAGTCCACCCGAGCCACCGGAGACACGTACTCTGACACCGACTCGAACAACAATGCTTGCCGCAGTTTCAACCTCGCAACATTTTCATAATGACAAATGTGGGTAATTTATATACAAATTTAGGGGGTTTATCTCGAATTATCTTACGTAATGACAGATGTGGGTAATTTTGATGCAAAATTAGGTGGTTTCTTTATGTATTATTCATAATGGCAAATGTGAGTAAATTTGTTTATATAAATTATGATAGATCTAACGGTATTATCAATGATGATGTTTCGAGTCTACCAAATTAAATGGCAGATGTTTATGATTATTGTGAGAATGTTTATGATTTATCGTTTTTTTTTCGAGTGCGTCCGATGAGAATTAACATTTTGCTTTCATTTGGGCCTCTAATTAGTAATAGTAAGATTGATGTTTAATATTTTCTAAAAATAATCTGATATCACTTAATAGCTAGTCATATTGCTGGGACAATTCTAATGCTAGAAATCATATGTAGTTTCTATGTCTATTAATTTATTTAGACACTAAACACAAAAACTAGGTGGATAGTTCCTATAGAATAATTTTTTGACAAATCACACATCTTTTTTTCATCGTCAATCTATCACATGTCTTAATGTATTGGTTTTCGTGTGGACATGTTTTCTTATCTAACGTCGCTCTCAGTGAAAGTGTCATAGGAGTTTCATCCGTATTTAATAGACTGTCACATAGATATTTTTTGACATGGCAATGTTTTTAAGAAAAGAGAGACCAAATGAGTTTTTTAGATGAAACTATCTTGACACGATTATTAACTCTCTATGAGTTATGAAATTAAATATCGATCAAACCATAGAATAAAACTTTTCATTAAAAATGGGTGTTTCATACATATTTTATTTCATTTTTGACATGGCACTATGTTTTAGCAAGAAATGGCATAAGTCATACTTCGGGCTAATTGCGTATGAGAAAAAATAACTCATTGTGGATTGTTTGGAAGCCTCATGACTCGCTCGCACGTAAAATTTACTAGCATGGCAAGGGAGGATTTTTTTTAATCATTTTTAATCAATATTTTAATAATAACTGCTCTAAAAAATATTTTCAGATCTGACCCTTTTGGTCGCGCCAGTCCCGCTGGCGCGACCAAACAACCCTGTCGCGCCAATGCATGTGGCGCGGCAATATTTACCCTGTTGGATGACGTTTCCGATGTAGAAAAGTTTGTCGCGCCACTCCCGATTGTGTGACAGTATTGTCTTGTCGCGCTACCGGGAATGGCGTTACAAGACTAAATTTTCGAAAAATCATAACTCTTTAACACGACATTGGATGAAGATGATTTTTATACGAAAATTGTATACCTCGACGAGATCTACAACTTTCTAGTTTTGAGTTTTTTTGTTTAAGAAAGCTAAGATGCTCAAAAGAATAATATAAAATTTCAGTACCATAATAATCGCGTACCAGTGCTTGCCGCATTTAAAAAATAATATTTTTTTATGATGTCAAACGAAGATACATTTTATATCAAAGTTGTAGAGATCTACAAGTTTATAGTTTGAAGTTTTCATATTTGAGGTTGTTAACATACGCTAATAACTAATATAAAGTTTTAGCAGCATATTAATCATTTATCAAAACTTATCTTTTTAGAAAAATCGTATATTTTTAATTGATGTCAGATAAAACTATTTTTTAAATTAAAATTGTAGATCTCATTGGGAGTTTCAATTTTGATATAAAAGTTACCTTCATTTGACACGATACAAAAATGATATTATTTTTCTAATGCGACAAGCGTCAATACGTGATTATTATGCTACTAAAATTTTATATTATTTTGTTTAGCATCTTAGCGACTCCACATGTTAAAACTTAAAACTAAAAAGTTGTAGATCTCATCGAGAGCTACAACTTTTATGTAAAAAGTATCTTCATTTGACAACATATAGAAACATTATTATTTTTCTAATGCGACAACTATTAGTACGCGGTTATTATGTTCCTGAAACTTTATATTATTTTTTTAAACATCTTAACGACTCTAAATGTTAAAACTCAAAACTACAAAGTTGTAGATCTTATTGAGATCTACAACTTTCATATAAAAAGTATCTTCATTTGACAAGATACGGAAACAATATTATTTTTCTAATATGACGCGATTATTATGGTGCTGAAATTTTATATTATTTTTTTCAGTATCTTAACGTCCTCAAATAAAAAACTCAAAACTAAAAAGTTGTAGATCTCATCGAGAGCTACAATTTTCACATAAATTTTATCTTCATCCGACATCATTTCAAATATTTGGTCTTGTCACGTCACTTCGGTGGCACGACAAAACAATACCGTCACGCCAATGACAAAGTTTTTCACGTTGAAAACGCCATCTAACATGGCGAATGTTACCGCGCCATTGCATATAGCGCGACAGCCGCTGCCGCGACCAAAAAGTGTTACATAAAAAAAATTAGAAGCGATAATTATTAAAATATTAAATAAAAAAGGATTAAAATAAAAAAAATCCCATGGTATGTGCGCTCCAGTTAACACGACGTGCATGAACAGTAAATACTGTAGGAAACAATGGTTAAATAATAGTGAACCAAAAGTTCATGAACAGTGACAGTTACTGTGTATAAATAGGGATAGTTGCAGTGTTCGAACAGTGCATCAAACAGTGTCTAAACAGCCACCATAAACGGATGCACAGGGTCTCGTGGTCGCGGAAATCTTTCCGTGTCGTGGGATCTTATTACTTGTATATCCATTAAGACTGAAATTCTTCTCAATTATAGATTGATTTGACTAGTTTCTCGTTCTCACTGACGCCATAGTGAAACGGCAGGTGGAAGCACGCCTTTCAGGAAGGAGTAGAAGAGAACCAGCGATCTCTTAGGTTGGAAACTTGGCACCAGGTGACCAGATCCCCTCACAGAGGCAAACGTGAATCCTCCTTCGTATTGTTGAATGTAGCCTCCAACCTATGCATATAAAGCATCACAATTCAACACATATAAATAATCCTATCACATATTCTTCTTCGAAGCTGAGTTCGTGCATTACCTCGTTGGCAGGAGTGTACCACGGGCGCCATGGCTTTGTGACGGTCAGATTGAGGTCTTTAACGGAGTACCTTGTTGCAGTAATGGGGCAAACATCGTCCATATCGCCACTGCCAACGAGTTATCCATGACGATTATTAACAATAAAAAAGTTATCATTTGATTCTTAATTTGTTCTTTCCTTTGTTTGAGTTTGCCGCACAAGTACGGAAGATCGATGGGGATGGCAATTACCTGTACACCCAAACTCTTAATCCGGTGTCGATAAGCCACGAGAGCGTTGGCACCATGCTTAACGGCCAGTCGTTCCACGGCAATCTCCTGAACCAATGACAGAAGGTCTCAGGTCAGAATAACCAATGGGTTTGCCAAGAGCAAACAATACGTTTGGACATGCAGTTGGCACTACTTACGCACAGACTGACCAATCGGTATTGGCCCGAGCATGGATTGCCTTCTGCACCTCAGGGCAATTCAAGTAGACCTCGACGTAGTTGCCTATGCATGGATCGTAGCCAGGTAACTGTCACAGTTATACACATCGGTATAATTCATCAATCAGAAGTGCCTGCTGGATTCTGCTCTTTTTAAGGTCCGTTCGGTTGTTCCGGAACGGAGCTAGAACATATTCCAGCTTATCAATATTACACAAATTAGTGAACCGTTCTAACTTGAATCGTGGCAGGGACTCATTCCTAAATAACCGAACGAATCTTAAGGGAGTGTCAAGGAACTTTTCTAAGAACAATAGGGATTAAAGAATTTGATAGAATAATATTATACTTACATAGCTACTGGAGTAGCTTGTCCCGTTGGGCGCCTGGATGCATATCGGAGCATAAATGTTGTACCGGCTGATGTCGCCGGCGGTATTAACGAAGTTCCGGGAGTTGAACGGTGACTTCGCCTCCTCACACAAAATGCCATCGGACGGGCCAAAGCTGCAGTGCTCGATAATGTTAGCCCACGTCTCGTCGGACATCACCCCATGGTTCCACAGGAACTCGAGAGAGCCCTTGTCGTTTTTGTAATCATCAAGCAACGGGTTGCCAACCTGAAACCGAGACGGGCAAAAGCAACGCGACTTGCTAGTTAGTTATCGTGCTGTGCTAATGAAGTTGTTAACTGCCATGGCGGCTGGCGCTCGACTTACGAAGATCCCCTTGAGGTTTGTCGGGTTCTCTCCTGTGAGTAAGCGGACGGCCACGATGACGGCGGCCAGCTCCGGGACGTAGTGACCGGCGTAGCTCTCACCGGCGATGTAGAAGTCGCGACCCTTGTACTCGGGGAACCGCTCGAGCCAGTGGAGTAGGAAGGTGTACGAGTCCACTGCCGTCCTCTTGTCACCACTTTTGTCGTAGTCCGACGACGTGTTGGAGTAGGAGAACCCGACTCCGGCCGGCGACTCAAGGAAGATGACGTTGGCCACTGCATGATGTTGTTCTCACGCAAAAAACGTCAGAAAGATGACACCGATCTCGTCGTCGCAGGTACCTCGTTTTCTTTTGCAATAACAACAGAGCCGTCACCAAGTACGTGGCTACGTACCGTTGTTCCAGGAATGGCGGTTCCTGCTCAGGGTCTTGCCGTCGGGGTTGACACGGAACGGGCCCAGCTCCATCATCGCGCCTGCTCCCAGCGACGAGCACCCTGGCCCTGCTTGCGCGCGCGTGCAAGAAGAGACACAACTCATCACTAGTACCAAATCAAACACCAAAATGAGCGTGCATGCTGCAAACACCCTGTAGCTGCTCACCTCCGTTGAGCCAGAGGACGAGGGGCTTGGAGGTGGCGTCGTAGGGGGACTCCACGAAGTAGTAGAAGAGCGCGCGGCCGTGCTCTTCGTCCACCGTCACGTAGCCGGAGTACTGCTCGAAATTGACGCGCGGCGGCTGCCCCGGCAGCGCCTTGATCCTGTCAGCCTCCTTGCTGCCCTTGGGCGACTTGCAGTACGTGGGCAGGTGACCGAAGCTTCTCACGTGGTCAGCCCATGGATCGGTTTCGGCAGGCCCGGCTGCGGTTGCCGATTTTGCTTGGGCCTGCTGGGACTCGATGAGCTGCCTCAGCAGCGCGGCTTGGTCCAGGGCGGCGGCGTTCGTCAGCGGTAGGGCGAGTAGGATCGCCGCGAGGAGAATGCAACACGAGATCTGATTCCTCGGCGCCATCTTTGTTCTCTGCGAGCTCGTTGCTCGATCATCAGAATGCAAAGATCATCTCGTGTTTATATATAGAGAGAGAGAGAGTTGACTGTAATTCGGGAGTTTGGTTTCTCCGAATTACGAACGCCATGAGCTAGCTGCCTAGCTGTAATGATCTGGCAACACTTGCACGACCAAGTCGCCTGTAGTTTATTTCTTACAGATTTGCTAGCGTCTTTGCTTCGCATAGCACCCCAGTCCCCAGTTGTCTGGCGTAGTCGGCGTCCAACGTTGGAGTTTTGGATCGATCTTGACGGAAGTTTGTTTCTCCCGGCGACGCCGACGATGCCGAGGTAACACCTCTCCGCAAGGACCCAAACGATCGGATCGATGACGTAGAGACCAAGGTGGACATATTAAAGATACGAAGGCACGCCGAATCGGCGGCCTTCTAGGATGTCCACGTATTCTCTTTTTATTTGGTGCGTTAGATAGAGATTCCACAGCTCAGATGAAGTAACCGGCCAGGTGAGGCAGTGGCGGGTGACATGCATGGCCGGTGCCTAACGCGTACATTCATGCTGCTGGGGCCGTCCTCGCTTTGCATGCATCACTTGTCGACTTGTGTGCACCCTGGCCCCATCTCGTCCTCATTTCCGGTTCTCATCCCATCCCCGTCCCCCTCCCCATCTCCATTTCTGAGCCGCCTGCGCGGGCCGCAGAGCTCGGCGCGAAACAAGTCGGATAGCCGAACATTTAATGCCTGCGCCGACCATGTACGATCGGCCACCGACCATGCACCGACCGGCATGGCTCCCATACCGTCTCCATCTCCGGTTCTCATCCCATCCCCATTTCCATTTCTCACTCACACAGGCACCCGACCCCGTCGCCACCAACCCTAGCCGGACGAGCTCCAGCTCCATCTCTCGGCACCGGCACCTCCTCCTCCTCTGCTCCTCCCTTCTTTCCCTGCGCAACCCCTAGCCCCGACGAGGCTCCAAGCCAGATTTGCCGCAGCCGTCGGTCGTCTCTCCGGCGTCGGCGGCCACCCCTCCCCCCGCCCGCTTCCCCCTCCCCTACCCCTCCATCTCCCGACGGCGCGACCACTATACCCCGCGACGGCGCGACCGCGTCCGTCCCGTCGGATCGCGCCGCGTCGCGGCCGGCGTGGAGGCGCTCAAGGAATCCATCCGGGGCCTCGACGTGGCCGTGGTTCGGCCGCGCGGAACATTACCACCTCGCTGCGCGGACGAATCGTGTCGTGTCCTCTTCCTCCCCCCCGGCAGCTACGGGTCCAGCTGCGGCAGCTGCGCGGACCGGTGGCCCTTGCTGGCGGCAACAGCGCTTGGGTCACGACCGGCCTCTGCTGCAAGCGCTTCCCTCATCTTCATCTCTGCCCAAGCTGGGTACTCCCACCTTGCCGCTGTCTTCGAGTAGATCGACGCCGTCCAGGTTCGCGTCCCCTTCTTCTCAGTCTGGATCTGGGGTTCAGTCTCGATGGGGTTGTTGCGGCCTTCTCGATTTGGTTAGGTTTTTGTGACATCTCTCGTGTTTCCTTTTCTTGAGGCCCCCGCAACTTGCCGGGAAGCGCCGCCGAGGATCCACATGGTAAATCAGCGATAAAGGTCAGCACAGGAAAGCATGGTTGATAATTATATTTTCAGAGTCCTGAAATTTTTATTGGATGCCCCTGAATCCGTTACTGACAAGATTTTCTCTAATACAACGACAATCTCTGAATACCTCATCTCTGAAGACCTTCCAGATGTATGATTCAGTGCCAGCCTGCTAAGTATTTTCTCGCTGTTCCTTTTGACAGGTTAGTGGACTATTCATTTTCTCCTACTTTACTACTGCAGGTTGATATTTCTGTTGTCGGTCTCACCAGCTTCAGTGGACCCGATGTCCCCTTTGATGTGGATGTCTTTGACTCTAGTGTACATTACATCAAGTTAATGAAGTAAGTAGCTTGTTCTTTCGTGTTTTCTTTCATTGAAGTGAGAATATCTGTGCTTTATATCATTACATGTTACCTGGATCATGTTGTGTAACAAGGGAATCTAATGATTTAGTTACCGCCATCATTTCCGGACAATTTTTGACTTTGAAGCAATAAAAAAGCTGCTGGCTTCCCAAAAGTTTACATTCTGGTATTCATCTATGACTGCAACCATGTCACCATTGACGTAATAATATTACTGTAACACATCTGAAATCTTGTTGTGCTCTTTTAGTTATGATGCGCTCCATGGTGTTGCTGGAGCTTATGCCAGACACATCTTTGTGGAAGAGCTTGGTGCTGGATGAAAGCTCGCTGTTGAATTGTGTCCCGAAAGTAATGAGCTCTTCTATTGTCACAAATTTCTACTTAAAATGTGGCTTGGTATTAATTCATCACTTATGTTTTTGCAGGAGGACTTTGGAGGTGGTCATCCGGATCCTAGCCTCACCTATGCAAAAGAGTTGGTTGAACGGATGGATCTTGGAAAGTCATCCTCAAATGTTGAGCCCCTGAATTTGTAGCGCTGCATTGATGGAGATGCTGATCGCAACATGATTACGGGTAAAAGGTATGATATGTTGAATATCTCGCTATGTAGAAAATTTGTTTTGGATTCTAGAAAAGCACAAGGAATTCATGGTACTCCCCCTTTGCCTTGTTATAGATTCTTTGTGGCACCATCGGACTCTGTTGCCATTATCGCGGCCAATGCTGTCCAATCAATTCCTTACTTTGCTTACGGCCTCAAGGGAGTTGCCGGTGAAAAGCTCTCCTCCATCTTGTGCTGCTAATATAACATCTAGATATATTGTCGCTGTAAAAACTCTCACTGTAGGCTCAAAGCGGTAAACTTCATGTAGCCTGCAGTAAAAATGCATGTTTCTCTCTACATTTTGTGCACCATCTGTTTTAAGTCTGGCGTTGTTACGCTCAATAAATCTGCTTAACATATCAGTGACAATACCATCTCGAGCACAGTGCACGCTAACGCCAAATTTTTCATCCCCAACCGTCGACCTTAGATGCATTTAAAATTTCTCTATGCAATCGATATTGCTTATGATAATCCATTGTTGTAGTTGCAGGAGCATGCCAATATCTGCTTGCCTTTGATGTTGTTGCAAAGAATCTGAATCTCAAGTTCTTTGAGGTAAAGTGTTGAGACCTTGGTTTGCAAGATTTTTGAATGCTAGATAAATCTAACATAAACAACCATGTTTCAGGTGTGCCCTCTGGTAGGAAGTTTTTGGGAATTTGATGGATTTGGAATGTGCTCAACTGTGGTGAAGAAAGCTTTGTACTTTGGTAATATTTGGCTTCGGCTATCATTTATATACATGCGAATCACGAGTAGTAAACATGCTAGCACCTCTTGTATCGTCATGTTAGATGGGTAAATTGTGTTAACATGAATGGGGCAAATCACTTGTTGTGTTACGATAGTGAGCTCTCTCGCCCTTTTATTGAGTCGGTCATGAATCCAACCCATAGTAAGGTCAAGGACTTGTTGGTATTTGGTATAGACATTATTGAGATGTTTATATGTACTACTTTGGCTGTGGTCGACCACATTCGTGAGAAGGATGGCATCTGGGCTGTGCTTGCATGGCTTTCTATTATTGCTTTCAAGAATAAGGACGACCTTGGAGGAGATAAGCTTGTCGTTGTTGAAGATATTGTCCGTCAACCTTTGGGCCACATATGGTTGCCATTATTATACGCTATGACTATGAGGTACTAACTTTTTTTTGACATTCGCCTTGCATATATGTACACATTGTTTCAGATATCATTCTAAATGCACAAGTTTGTTTGTGAAGAATGTTGGGTTGGGGGCTGCTAAGGAGCTTATGGCAAACCTAGGAAGCATGCAGATCATCACTTTCTGATGTCAACAAGTAAGTGGAACTTTTTAAAGTGTAAAGGAATCAGTGCCTCCAAAAAATTATGGTCGTACTCCGTATATACATATATCAACTTAAGCAATCTTGAACATTTTAGTGCCATATCTAAATTATCTCTCGTCAGGTGATCAAGGAGATCCGGCCCGATGTTTCGAAGTAGTTGTGGTAGACGAGTTTGAGTACAAGGATCCTGTTGATGGCTCTGTGTCCAAGCACCGGGGCATCCAATACCTCTTCGGAGATGGTTCACTACTGGTATGTAGACCTGTGTTGTTTTAGATATCCTCTATTTTATGTCTTGAACCAAAACAAAGGGAGTGGTGTGAAAACCTTGTTCTAGTCAACAATACATTTCCTTTTTGCAATATTATCAGTCGGTAC